TATCTGTGAATACAACAAAAGCTCAGAACATTTGATGCTCTATCAACATTTATAGAAACATCTTCTTCACTGATTTAAAAAGCTGATAGCACAGCCACACAATCAGATAACAGCTGTTGTCTATTTAAAGTCTCTGATCTCTACAGACTTTGTAGAATTACTGAACTGCATGCAGTTCTACACACAATATTATATAAGATAACACAGTTGACTGACTGCACATTATCTGACAACCCTGCAGCAGTTCTACAAGACCGGCCTGCTGAGTGCATTCATGATAATTAATGCAACTGTTAGAGACAACACAGTCTATACAGACAATACAGATAGCACAATTAAACTCATCTGTTTTAATTAATTGTGATATAATCAATACAGTCTGTGTGTCTGACTCAGTTAATATGTTCTTGACTGCCGGTATTATATCTACATGTACTTTGTTTTGTTTTTCTCTCATTTACTCTTGTCTCTATCAGCTCAAATACTTCTTCTTTCTTTTTTTCTTTACTCTCTCTGTCATTCTCTACTCTTTTTCTTTCATAATTTTTTTTAATACTCTCTCCTCTCTTTTCTCAGATCCGGGTCAGATCATATGACTGCAAGGTGTCGCAGATGACACAGTCTTTTCTTTATCTTTCTTTTTTATTTTATTTTATTTTCTTTTTTTATTTCAGAACACACACTTTTCCACTTTTTCTTTCATTTATTTTATTTATCTTTTTTCTGATATTAGAAGCACAGACAGCTTTCTGATCAATTAAAAGAGATATCTCTCTCTGCTCATTATAAAGCCTTTCAGACACGGCAGCAGCAGTCCCCTCAGAGAACCACGTTATAACCTCACCATGAATGGCCATACATTGAATCAGAAGTGAATGCACAGCTCAGAAAAATCCTTTATAATGAGCTGAATCTTTTTAAAAGTTGTCATCTGAATTTTATTTTCTCACTCTCTCTGTGTACATAGAAATCTCTTCAGTATAACACATCTCCATGCTCTTCAGAAGGCTTCTGAAACACGGGTGCTGTCTGTGTTTTCTTCAGAACATTAAATCTATACATACATACATACATACATATATATTACTTTTTATAAATTCTGAACTAGCAATAGAAGCAGCTGATTCTGATATTTTATTACAACTTTAATCAATATCAAGATCATATTCAAAGAAAAAGAAGAGACAAGAAGCAATAAAAGAGAACAATTGATAATAATTGAAATTAATATTGTTATATCATTTAAAAATTGCAGCAATATAAAATCCGAGTCAAAATAGAAAGCACAACCATGTAATCAAAACTTCAAATTTTACAATAAAAATCACATGAGAAGATACAGCATACTTTACTTGATAAATTGACATATTCTCTTTTAAATAAAAAATCATTAGTGGTGATGTTGGTGATGATTTCATTAGAGTATGATTTTTGATGTAAAAGTTAAAGAAAAGAGAATCAGAGATTGTGTTTAAATCATAATTGAATTGTAATAACATCAAAGTCAGAGAAACATTTTTCCGAGACAATATCATTTCAAAATTAACCTTCAAAATTAATTCAATTGTAATAGGCGCAACAGAGATATCTATATTAGGAAATAGATACGTGGCGATAGATACGTGGCGATAGATACGTGGCGATGGCAATATTATCTATATAATGCTCGCTGATATCCGTGGATTTTAGGAGATCAGCGATTAGCTTTGAACAATAGAGATTGCTACCTTCTTAATATCCTTTGTGCGTACTTCACACTACTCTTGTAATTACTCTTGTAGCCCATCTCTTACATCAATTCTATTCTGCAAACTTTATACAATATTAACTACACAGTATATATTATGAACTTCACACATTGCAATATGAAGTTTTGAAAACCAGGCCTTTGAAGAAGAGAGATAATTATAATAAACACAATAGAGATATCTATATTGGAAAATAGATATATGACAATATAAGGGTACAGAACACATCAGAATCAATTGTAATAAATGTAATATGATGATAACATTGTTTATATAATGCTTGCTGATATCTGTAGATCTTAGAAGATAAGTGATTAGCTTTGAACAATAGAGATTGCTATCTTTTTAATATCTTTTATGCGTACTTCATACTACTCTTGTAATTACTCTTATAACCCATCTCTTACATAAACAGATGATCAAATGAAATGGCAGAATTAAATTTTGAAACATTATTTTCAATGCTTTATCAATTATCATCAAGATAATTGAGTATGCTGATTATTATTAATGCAGTTTGTTTACAATATCTCCCAATATATCTCAACTGAAATGGCATGTACGGAAGTCTTCATGAAATGTCAATATGATTTAAAAATTAATATAGGCAAATCATCACAACTGGTTGCTATACATGCTGCTAGCTGTGTGAAACATATTGAGGAAACACATCACAAATTTATTGAAAATTTACAAAAAATATGACAAGTACAGAAAACTTACTACAATGCAAAATATAAATCTCAATAATTTAAAATAAATGATTATATTATATTTAATGCAAAAATAAATATGTTGAACCTTTCAAGATTATGAATATCATCAAAAAATAAATGTATAAATTAAAACTGACATCTTCATATTAAAGCATTCATTTTGTATTTCATGTATTTTTATTGAAGTCATACAATTGCAGAAATGAAGCTTTATCAGAATTAGAATCAGAATTTATCAATGATGAACAAGAATATTAAATGAAAAAAATTCTTGAAAAATGATAATAAAAAAACAAATCTTTGAAATATCTTGTGAAATTGACAGGTTGAGAATTTAATAATGATATATAGAAATCAGAAAAAAAATATATTGAACATTTAAATATTTGAAACTTTTCTTGAGTAAGAAAATGAATGATAAGTACAAAACCAACATACTTTCAAATATTAAAGGCATGAATTCCAAGTTGAAAAATATTAAAACTGCGAATCTCAAGTTGAAAAATGTTAGAAGTGCAAATCTCAGCCAAACTTCAATCAAATACATTTTTCAAAAAAATTTAATTAAAAAAAAAAAAAAAAAAAAAAAAAAAAAAAAAAAAATTTCAATTTGAATATAATAATAAATACAAAAATAAAAAATACAAGCAAGAAAAAAATAAAGAAAATAGATTTTAAAAAAAATTTACATACTTTTTATTCACTCATTTTTATTTCATCTTTTATTTTTTATTTTCTTTTCCTCCTCTTATCATTCTTCTCATTCTTTCTTTCAGTCATTTTCATTCAATACCTTTTTCAGTATTTGTAAATTATCAGCACTCATTTTGAATAAAGAGATATAAGTAAATGTTTATTTTATAAAATATTTATCTTTTTATTTCTTTTCTATCTCATCAATTTACTCATTCTTCAGCATATCTGATCAAGAAAGATATTTTCTTTCAACTTCTTCTCTCACTTCTTTATCATCTAAAACACTCACTCCCTCTGCTCCACAAATACCAGTGATGAATTGATTATTGAAACAGACATTACAGATATAATCACTGCTTTTATAATCTGCACTTTCACAGATTCAGTTGCTGTTCAATGCTGAGATCACAAAGCATTCATTTCCGATCTACTCTGAACAGACAACATCATTAAATGAGATGTATTTAATTATTTTATTAAATGATGAAGATGATTTTTATAACTGATCATATTCTTCTCAGCTACTATTTTTGCAAAAATGAACATATATTTGTATATAATGCATTTCAAAAGAGGTGTATCATGCATCTACTATTATTATCAATATATCAACATTGCTAATAACATTACTTATCTATTCAAAACCAAATTTACAAAAGAGGAAAGAGAAAAAAGAAATAGAAATTGAAGAAGATTATTCACAAAGTTACAGAATTTTTCTACAGAGACACAAACTTCACAATATTTTCAAATATTAAATCTGAATATACATCAAAAATCAATGTATTTTAATTTGAAAACACAATATTTACATAGAATTCAATTGTTGTATGTCACATGATTAGAGTTAAAGCAATACAACAAGTGAACAGTAAATGATGCTGAACAGAAACAAATTAATGATATATATGATCACATTAATAACATCACTAATAGAGAATATCAACAATAATATATAATAAATATCAATCAGAGAACAATTTACTTAAAATCAAAATATTTAAAGAAATTCATTTCAATAAAAAAAAAAAAAAAAAGAAAGAAAAAATCAATGAAGAAGTTTTAAAAAAAAAAAAAAAAAAACAAATTTAAGAATGAAAAAATTGTAACAGGAAAGTAAAAAGCTTTAATGATGATTAAATTAAAAAAGAAGAGAAATTTTCAAAGGAAAAGAAATTCTTTTTACTTCTCTACATAAAATCTCTAACAATCAAAGAACTCATCAATTTTATTTCATTAAGAAATTAATAACAATGTGTATACAAGCTATCTAAGAAATATGAAGCAATCTATACAAATCACTGAAAGCAGCTCTTATAAAAAAAAAGGCAATTGTAATGCACTCATTTATTATTTTGTTATACTCACTTATTATTTCCTTATTATATTATCTTTACTTATTCTTACCTCTTTCCATTATGTTCTCGCTACTGCTATTTCTACATATATATCTATATATGAATGTATGTATTTCACACATCTTCTTTTCTCTTTCTTTTCCTTTTTAGTGATTAGCTACAACTACTACTAGTATTATTACTACAATTACTATTGTTATTATCATCCACTACGCTATCTACTATCTTCCACTATTCACTCTTCACACTGTCATCACCCCTCACAAAGTCAATGAAGATTTACTCTAAGTAAAGAGCTGGAATATTTATAGTTTAGCATGAACTTAATTTGTTAGCAAAACAGGTGAACTCCAGCGGAGTTCAACGTGTAATAGTTGTAAGCTTTGAGGGCGGGCTTACATAAGGTTCCCTACATGTGTGTTTCTAGCAGCAAGATCAGGGCGTGCCAAATCTGAAGAGGTGAAGACCGGGTCAGTGGGCCAATGGGCGGCGTCCGCAACAACAGGCCTGGCCCGTTCGGGGATGCCCAGAAAGCAAGGGCTGCTGTGTACTCAAACGTCGGATTCTTTACTAAAATAAAATACAGCAATGTTATTATAATTTCAGAATTCTTGATTTGAACACCTGCTTATGGAAGTGTTTTTGAAGGCAGTCAGTCAGCTGCCTAAGGCGGTTTCAGCAGCCACTGATAAATATCTGCTATTTGGCGCCGTTTTCTAACCAAATACTAGTCGTGATCTAGCCGCCAGAGTTGATTTCAGTGGTGATTCATCAGCCTGTGCATTTGTCGTGTTCATTTTGAGAATTAAAACAAAACACATTCCCTGCTGAGCAGCTTCCCTTTGCCCAGCTTCCCTTTGCCAACTCTCTTTTCTTTGTACACACCATTCGCGTTTCCAGGAGCATCTCAACCCGTTGTGTGTCATTTGTTTTTATCGTTACTTCTACACTACATGAAACTCCGGAGTCAATCTACCACTAGTTTCCATTCGTCCAGAGCAATGCCATTGCTTCATAAACCAGCCTCCCAACCTAAGTGCTCCGATTTTCCCGATGGATGATCCGGTTGATAGCCTCAAGAATGTTCGTGGTAATGCAACTATCGCGTATCCTACCCTTCACCGGTAAAATTTTGCTAACATCTATCTAATATGCTTTCTTGTGATAGGGCTTAGAAAATGAATACTGCCCTCCGCTGGATCCCGCACTTTTCGTGGCTATAGCAAGCGATTATAACCTTCTCAACGACGGTAGCGTTCGGCAACTACGCGACACTCTAGATGCGCTGAAAGCTTCAGCTGATGAGCAAGAGAATGCTACATTCGACCCTTCTGGCAAAAGCGGCCGGGATTTCGTAGCGGGGGATCATGACGAGTTCGCGTCAGAGGAAGATGGATCACATCCAACAAAAAACTCTTTGACATCGACTCTTGAGCCTATCGAATCTGTTTTCTCTGTGTTCAGTTTGGAGGAGAACCTGGAGCCCACTCGTTCTGGTGAGCCCTGGAGTGGAATCCATACTGATTCCCCCCTGTCCTCTAACCGTGTTTCTCAAGTTACAGGATTGACTTTCGAGGGTAAGAGGGCGTATTTAATGGATATGTTTCCGTCAATTGACCAATACACAATTGTTCATACTTTGAGAAAATGTGGCGAGGATATTGACCGCTCGATGGATGTTTTGCTCAACCTGGCGTTTTTTGAAAACCAAAGCACTGATGATCAGGAAGACAAAGTGTCAATACCGAAGGGAATAGATGGGTTCGAAGTCGATATCCACTCAAGAGAACGTAAGTGGGCGAAAAGTAAGCGGTCTGTAAAAAGGCAAGGATCGCTTCCTCCGTCGATTGCATCATCTGCTGTAACACAACATGAAACCAATAGGGTGGAAAATGTATGGGAGAATAGCAGAAGAGATGTCAACTTTATCTGTTCCAGAACGTACCTCTCGCCCAAGTTCGTTACTTCTGCCTACCATACAAACGGAGCATCCCTCCCAAACACATTGCACTCCCTTGCGTCTGCGGAGGCGGAGCGACACGCAAATTCCATGATGGATAAGTCAATCACAGTCACGCAAATAGCAGAACTGAAGCAGGAGTTCCATAAAGTTTCCTCCGAGAAGCTTGCCGGATTGCTTCTACTAGCCAGGAACTCAACCTCAGCAGCCAGTGAGCTTGCAACCGTGATGACAACCGCTGCACCACCTCCGACAGAAATCGTCCAAATACAACAAGCACCTGTGGATCTCAGTGAATTTCCATCTCAGACTCAGAATTCCCGGTCACGGACACGAGAGCAGCCCCACGACCACCTCACCAGCAGAGCGATAGCAGACTCGCACATCATCGCAGGCCACAGCGCTTTTGCCAAGGCCAATTCAGCCTATCGCCGCGCCAAATCAGATCGCCTCATGGGTGGTGCCGCTGGGTACTACTCCGCGGTGGGTCGTGAACGTGTGGAAAAAGCCAAAAGGGAAGCCGCAGCTGCGGCAAAGGCACTCGTAGAGTTGCAGTCCAACAGCACGTTGCTGGACCTGCACGGCGTTAGCGTACAACATGCCGTTGACATCGCGAAGAAGAAGGTTGATGCCTGGTGGTATTCACTTGGTGATACCAAATATGCTCCTGGCGGCTGGGGTCCCGTGCAGCAGGGCTATCGCATCATCACGGGCCTCGGTCGCCATTCAAAGAACGGCACTGCGAGACTGGGTCCAGCGGTTGCGCGGGCTTTGGCTAATGAAGGATGGAAGGTCGAGGTTGGCGAGGGATCCTTGACGATTACGGGAATGGCTAAACGTCGATGAGGGTGGTTTCGGTTTTCGGTTGGCGTTTGGAGCTTTTAGTTTCTGGGTGGTGTTGTTTCTCGCTGCGTTTGTTAGTAGGTAGATTAAGCAGGAAAGAACCTATGTATCCATATCATAAGGGGACTTGATCGATCATTGGTATGCATCCATATGAGTCTAGCGATGGTTCTAGAAAGTAAATTATTCAATGTTCCGTCACTAAGTACTTACACTATATATACTTATCTTGGTACTTATATATGTATGTTAAATTTTTTTTTTTTTTGTTTGTTGTTTCCAAAAGATTTGCTCCCGCGATGATGGATGGGTAAAAATAGATGTGAGGTCATAAATATGTGGAATCATCCATGGATGAATTGACAAAACAAGGTTGGCAGCTTCAATACAAATCCTTCCGTCATCCCCGCCAGCAGCACCCTGGAGAACTCCATGAATACTCGTTCCTGCGCACGCTTCTCTACTCATCTTCCCCGCTCCCATTTCCATAAACATCGTCTCCATATATCTCCTTTATACCGACAACTCATCTCTCCTCGAACTTCATCCCATTTTGGGCTTCCCCACTTTGCGCGACGACCCCGTCCGTTGCTCCTCGGTCGCGAAGCCCTCCGATTCAACTGGATGCCAACGATCCCTTTCCTCACTGTATTTAGTTCATCAAAGAAGAAGATGGCCGACCAAAAAGAGTTTCCAGATCAACGGACGAATGAAGAATGGAGAGCAGTGTTAACTAAGGGTGAGTAAACAACCTAACCCTAATACTACCTGTATACAATTCATGGTCCCTCCACCGACCGGAAAATATCCTGCATTTCCGCTAGATATATACTTGATGTATATCTGTGTGTGTATCTATATTACTTAACCGCGCTGACCCTATTTCGTCCCCACTGAGTAGAACAATTCCACATCCTCCGCAACAAAGGCACCGAACCCGCTGGGAGCGGTGAATACAACAAACACTCCCCTGCATCAGGCGTCTACGAGTGCGCCGGCTGCGGCGCCCCGCTTTACAAGGCCTCCCACAAATTCTCGTCCGGTTGCGGTTGGCCGGCATACTTTGACTCGATCCCTGGTGCCGTGACGCGCAAGGAGGATCGGTCCTTTGGCATGAGCCGCACGGAAATTATGTGTTCGAACTGTGGGGGGCATTTGGGACATGTTTTCAAGGGCGAAGGATATCCGACGCCCACAGATGAAAGGCATTGTGTTAATAGCATTAGTTTGAGGTTTACGGAGAGTGAGGCGAAGGCGAGGGCGAAGGAAGTTGAGATGGAGGGGGGAAGTAAATAAGTTTGTAATTTTGGACGATTTATGATTTATGAAATGTACTCGTCTTTGAGTGTGAGATTACATTTGGAGTATTGTGGCGGACGTAAAGCTTGCGAAAACAGAATTTTCTGCCACCCCCTGAAAAATAGTAGCAAAACACCGCAGAAATAACCAAAATATCCACGTATCTCTAGAATCATTCAAATATCATCCAATTCATTCAAATACGCACCTTTATCATCAAATCTGCCAATATGCCCCCCCAGCTCAGCGAATTTACCACCAATGAGATCGTACGCCTTCTAAATGATGGTTATATGCCTGCTCAGATTGCGCGGACCATTGAGTGCAGTCTGGCCACTGTATATCGAATCCAACGAAATATTCGCTGCTTTGGAACTGCTAGAAGTCCTCGTTCAACATGGGGTGTAAAGCCAAAGATCACACCGGATATCTTGTCAGGTTTGGAGGACTTTTTTGAGGCATATCCAACTGCATATCGCGATGAGGCTGTCTGCTTTGTGAAGGATGAATTTGATGTTGATATCCACCCTCGATCGATATCTAGATTGTTGAAGAAACTGAATTTGACATGGAAGAAGGTGATTAATTATTGCAATTGTCACTTATAGAACCTGCTAATCTGTCAGTTCTATTTGATATAGGTTGAACCTGTGGCCAGTCAACGCAACGAAGAACTTCGAGCTGAATGGCGTATTCAAGTTACTCAGTATCAACCTGATCAACTTATCTTTTTAGATGAGAGTGCTGCGAATGAACGTACTGCAGATCGACGATATGGATGGTCAAGCAGAGGATTCCCTTGTCGCATTAGAAGGCCCTGTAAACGATCTCGCAGATGGTCAATCTTACCTGCAATAAGTGTCGATGGATATCTTGATTATGATATATATCAGGGGTCCTATAATACAGAGAGGTTCAATGAGTTTGTACGTGTCCGGATACTGCCCAAATGCCAACGAGGTTATCACTACTTAGTGATGGATAATTGCTCTTCTCATCGTTCACAAGCACTGCGAGATCTCTGCAGAGAAGCTGGCATTGGACTTTTATTCTTACCTCCATATTCTCCTGATTATAATCCTATAGAGGAGTCATTTCACGCGTTGAAAGAATGGATTAGAAGATACAGATGTCAGTTAGAGAATCAGTTTGATGGAGACTTTGAAGCCTTCTTGCATCATGCAGTTGAGAATTTCATGGGAGAAGAAGATGCAAGAGGATATTTCAGATCGGCTCATATAGGATAGTATTGTAAAATTTAAAAAGATTCAGATTACAATTCAATCATGATGATATATAATATCTAAGTTTCAAATTCAGAAGCAGAAGCAGCATGAAGTCTGCTGTCATCATTACAAACAGCAGATAAAGACAATTTAATCTCCTTCAACTGTGACTGCCAGATAGAACTCTTTAACCCATTTCTTATTATCGAGAATATACCCATTCCAATATTCAACTGAACCACCTGCTCATTTGTCATTGTCCGTATATGATCCAGTTCAAATCCTTCATTCTGAATAATGCTCTTTGCAGTTAAAAGAGCTTCTGCTCTTCGAGGTCTCTCTGTCATCAACCAGTTGAAGAACTCATCAATAAACAGATCCGCGTGTTCACCAAACTGAGGGATTGGACTACTTCGAATAGGAGGCAGGTTCGGATTCGATGGCAGGTTCGGATTCAATGGCAGGTTCGGATTCGATGGCAGGTTCGGATTCGATGGCAGGTTCGGATTCGATGGCAAGTTTGAATTTGATGGCAAGTTTGAATTCGATGACAAGTTTGAATTCAGTCCTCCCATGCCTCCCATTCCTTCCATCATATATTTCATCACCATCACATTGATTATCTCACTTGGAGACACAATATTAGATGAAGAAGGAGTTGAGGGAGATATTGGATACGATAGAAGCTGACAGTCATATCATTTGTTGTGACATTCCGTAACTTGATCTTTATAGGCTCCTTTATCCCATTGATAATCACCCGTTCATACAGCTGAATGAGATCTCAGGCTCAGGGGTAGGTGTTCGCAGAAATCGAGGATCTTCTGACTGTGTCTCCTCCTCCTCCTCCTCCTTATCCTCCTTCTCATCATCAGTTGGATTCTCGTCATTATCCGGAACATCCGGAACAGGCGGTTTGGACAGAAGAAGGCGCAGGGTAGTTGGAGTCCTTTTACGAGCTTGCGAGGCAGTAGAACGGTGGGTGTTGCGGGGCATATTGGCAGATTTGATGATAAAGGTGCGTATTTGAATGAATTGGATGATATTTGAATGATTCTAGAGATACGTGGATATTTTGGTTATTTCTGCGGTGTTTTGCTACTATTTTTCAGGGGGTGGCAGAAAATTCTGTTTTCGCAAGCTTTACGTCCGCCACAATAGAGGACCATCGTGGTAGCGTTTGTTTGAGTCGTTTACTTAACCATTTGAAAATGGACCTTGGAAAGGAAACAAAAATACAAGAATGTTCATGGTTGCACTCTGTTGTTGTTGATTGGAATCCTTTTTTCCCCCTTTCCTAATTCCTTCACTGTCCTTTTTGATATAATGGACGATCTCATATCCCATAATGCATTGAATTTCGAGGTCACAGGTTCTACACAACGGCAGCTGCGTACCTCCACCCGGCAACCAGGAGGAAGTCCTGGATAGAACTTGCACTCCTGGTCTCTATAGTTACCGGAACCAATGTTTAGTCATTGGTGAATCACCAGCCAAGATTCCAAATCCAAAAACCAGACAGATATCAACGTTTGATCGGACTAGCTGGGCAGTTAGACAGCGGCCTAACTTCCCATCTCCACCGACCCGACCTTAAGTTGTCCGAACCCCCTACATGTGCAATCATTACGCTGGGTTTAGGACCTTGGTTACGCCTCTGTCTCGACACTGCTAGTTGAACCATGGCCTCTCGACGAACGGCGAATCCGGCTGCGGAGCGGGCAGCAAAGAACCAACTGGTTATCAAAAATTTGCTGAAATTGGAATGCAATAAGGTTTGTGCCGATTGCAAGCGGAATAAACGTATGTTTTTTGGGCTTCTGATACCTCTCTCCGTCGCCAATTTTGCTTGGACAATCGAGTCCATTGTTGTGCACCCCGCATGCCTAAGTCTTCGACAGGCGTGCGTTTAGAGTATTGACCCTGTAGAAATAACTAACATTACTCCTGTGGTGTGAACAGACCCGAGATGGGCCAGCTGGAATATTGGCGTTTTCATTTGCATTCGCTGCTCAGGCATCCATAGGGGTATGGGTACGCATATCAGCCGAGTAAAATCAGTCGATCTTGACACTTGGACGGATGAACAACTCCAGAGTGTGCTTAAATGGGGAAATGCAAGAGCTAACAAGTTCGTTGTCCTGTACCCATTCCGTTGCAAGCGGGATCACAAAGCCACGAGTGCGCATGTATTAACTGGTATATCGATATCTAGGTACTGGGAAGCAAAGCTTGCTACCGGGCATGTCCCTTCAGAGTCGTATGTATTGCCATCCCAATCGGACTCTTACACTGTAGGGACGGTATTCTGATCCGACCCGCAGGAAAATGGAGAATTTCATCCGAACCAAGTATGAATCAAGACGGTGGGTGATGGACGGGCCCATGCCTGATCCATCAACGCTCGATGTTGATGAAGGTGACGATAATATGGTTAGCCTCCCCAATTCAGGGTTGTTTAATCCCAACAACCCTTCTTTTGCTTACCAGTTTCTCACAGCCGTTGGCCATCGTCCAGGAGAAAGCCAAGCTAGAACGATCTACTTCCCATCGCGCTGCATCAACAGTGAGCCAGCCTGCGTCGCGTCGACCAGGACAGTCAATCAATCTTTTCGACGACGAATCCCCGACCCCCCCTGAGAGACCTAATACCACAGACTTACCAGGTGTCCGTCCTCCAACAACGAATTCCATGTCTTCTGCAACTGCCGCTCCTAAGCCAAATAAACCGGCCGATTCATTACTTGGCTTGGATTTCTTTGGCTCTGCTCAACCAGCGGCAAACCGTTCATCGAGCAATTCGTCATCCAATGTAGGCTCCACTGGCCCTTCGAGACCCGACCTTAAACAATCTATTCTATCTTTATACGCATCAGCGCCCAAGCCGCAAGCCCCGGCCCAGCACGAACGCAATACTCCATTTGGATCATTTTCTCCCCAACCACAGCAACAGGCCAGGTCACAGTCAGATGCGTTTGGTGAACTTACGGATGCTTTTAGTGGATTGAGCTTTCCGTCAACCACATCTCCTCCTCCCCCCGAGAAACTCGATGCGTTTTCGAACCTCGGATCCTTCAGTCCTCCCATGTCCCCAAACACAGCACCAAAAATTTCTTCCCAAACACTCAGAGGTGGTGGGTTTTTTGATTCTGTCCCAAACTCACAGAGATCGACCTCCTCCGGGCGAGATTTCAACCCTGTCAGCGCCACTGTAGGATCTACAAAATCGGCAGCAGTTCCCCCCGCCACTTCAACGAGTTTATTCTCATCCATGTCAACCACCACTCCCACGCTACCTCCCTCAGTTCCACCAAAAACAGAAAATACAACTTCTCCCTTTAACCTCTCGGCTTCGTCAAAAGGGCCCGTTCCTACGGCTCCACCTACCAACACTACTAACGTCAGTATCCTGCTCTCAGGCAGCGCTATAGACCCATGGGGCGGCGGTACTTGGAACACAACGGAAGCGACTTCCCCCACTAGCAAACAGTCTATTTCGTCCTTGATGAAGGTCCCCGAGAAAATCACTGCCAATGACATTGGCTCGGGATGGGGATCGCAATCTCCTCCTACTACGACAAAACCGACGCCGACTGTTGCCGCTGATGAAGATTTCGGCGGATGGACAAGCGCCCCTCCCCCAGCTCCGATTAGTAGTGCCACCTCGAAGCCGAAGCCTGCTGGGGGCTTTTCGGGAAGCGATGATTTGTTCTCCAATGTGTGGGAGTGATAGCGACTTTGTCATTTTGATTTTATGCCCTCTCCTGCTAGCCAATGTTTTGATTAGAAAACAGTTTCGCTCTCAGGCAATTGATTCGCTTATGAATATTTGAGACTCGGTTTATGCAACTTCTAGCATTCCGTTTTATGATAACTGCCCGTTTCGTAAATTGTGATTCTATTCACTCATCCTCTTCAATTTTATTATTTAGTTTGCATGTTCCTCATGCGTCAATCATATTTATTAACTTTACCGGTTTCGCACAACGCGCATCCCAGTACGTGGATTATTATTTTCAATTCTTATTGGTTCATCATCTTCACAGTTGATACCAGATGATGTAACAGGGTGATCGCTAATCCATGTCGATTAAATCAATAGAGGTCGGTAGAAATTATGAGAATGTTTCGAAAAGTAACTACACGTTTCAAGTTGAGCTGGTAATCATATCCTACCGTGCAACGCATAGGTTCTCTGAGACTTAAGGAGAATATTGCCCATGGTAGGTAGGCAGGTAGGATTTATAAACCGACGTGCAAATCGGAAAGATAACAGAAATGGAAGGAGAAAATGGTGAATGCATATTACAAAGTTGAAGAAAAAAAGGAAAAGAAAAACCCGGATCTAAATTCATCGTGTACAAAGTTTCCAAAGAACGGGACATTGACTCCATAAAAAACCGTAACGCCAAACAGGATAAGAGAAACATCAGCACATTCAAACAAGACTGACCTAACAACTGATGCAAACAACATGAACCAACCTTGTGCCGTCTTCAGGAGGTCATGGGGCGTAAACTACTGCCATGACAAGAATAAACGACAAAAAACCGCAGGAGGGTAAATCAACTTCGGTATATCCGCTCTTCACTCCCCGTCGCGTAGTTCAGAATATCCAGCCCAGAATAATCCACAGCAGGAATCCAACTACAATAACGATCGCCGCAATTTTAAACACTGCAACTCTATCTCCCTGTCTCGCCATTCGTGTTAGGCGACCGGCACTGCCTCTGATATTCGTCGATAGTGACGAGAATACTTCGCTCTGATATGTGATTAGTTTTGATGTTGGCTGTTAGCCTCTGATCATGTCACCGATATGCAGGCAGAGACGGATATACGAACTGTATTATCGATAGTGCTGTGATCCCTGGCATGATCGTAAATATCTATAGAGACCGATTTCAGAGCGTTGGTCTTTTGCGCAAGGGAGTCCAGTAGGGCATTGTTTTGTCTAGTTGTAGTTCGGATGGTAAGTTAGCTACCACCCTTCTTTATTTCGATTGAGCATTTCCGACACCTCCCCGCGGCCCCCCTTCCCCCAACTTGCGTATAGCATGGCCTAGGATATGATGGAGATGAAGAGAAAACTAGTTGCAGACATACTGTTCCCGCACATAGGCGTCACTCATCTTGGAGACCGGAGACGAGAACTGGGGGTGTGTATCACGTTGTTCTCGTTTGGCAGGTGGAGCACGAAAGGGCACTTTTCCAGTATTGGATCTCTCCCACGATATCTGTCCGTGAAACGATTGAACCGATGACTATCTTCTATGTATACCGTAAGCTTCTGTCGATGTGGCTCTGTGGTTCACCTGCCCGGAGGTTGTGTTGACAATACTTGGGCGCGTGTCGTTTGCAAGATGCGAAGTATTTCGTCGAATAACCGATGATATCAAATTATGCAAGCGCCTTATAATTGTTCATTATACGAAATAATGATATTTTGGAGTTGCTATCTTTTCCAATATAATCTGGCGGGATTCTGTGAGCATGTTCGCCTGGATGGATACATTGAAGTTGGGAAAAGTTGTTAGGGGTTATCTCAGCGAGCTCAGACCCTCTATGGCTCCGGTTGCAGCAGCATGACACTAAACTACTTTAATTACAAGTCATGTGCTCAGAGCAATCCTCGCCAGAGGGTCTGAGAAGAAACGGTTCATCCTTCTGTGGAGATTGTTGAGATTTTCATAGATTCTTCAAATTGTTCAACTTTGACTTTCAATTACACAATCATCATACATATTTGATATTTGTGAACCACCTTAGCTTGTAGCTAAAGAAAGAGGAATATAAATATATAATTTTTATATTAAAAAAATCAATATTTAATATAGATGTATCTTGTTGAAAATGATCACTTTTTTTTCTGATTGAAATCAAGTAAATAGCAGATTGTTCCTGTGTTTAAAAAAAAATGAGTTGAGTTTGAGGTGATACTTCATATCTAAGAAATGGGAATATGAAAATAAAAATTGATACCATCGCGAGAACATTGATTTTCCTAGGTCCCAAGGTGGTACAGAGATGCTGAATAGATGGAGTTGGTTTGGTATTCTCACCCATGCCTAAGGTATAGAGCAAATCGTTCCCGTGTTGCTAACAAACTGGAACCGTTTTTTCTGACGCTTCGCAGGATAATTGCACATCACGGGATAAAGACTTATTTGGGTTAGCTCATTACCAATTTGAGATTAGCTTGTTTAAAAGAGTGACTAATCATTAAATCAGTGTTAAAACAGCAATTATCCTGCGAAGCGGCTGAGCTTGCTGAGATAAGTTAGGGGGTACTACGGCTACCCTATCACGTGCCCCCCAACATATTGTGTTGCTCTCACGTAGATGGTTTAGTAATGAACAAGAACATTATCCTCCTACAGGTTATGACTCTTATAAGCTGTGAAAAAGCTGTGAAATAACATGCTAACTACATCTCCACACATTGTTAAAAGCATTCCTAGACAGCTTGTTAAATGATTTGAATTTAATGATTAATCTGAGATTGAGTGGAACGCCTGATTTATGTAGCGCATCTCACTACCTCCCATTAGTGAGTGCGCCACACCGTAAAGGTGATAACACCGCAACGGTAATAATTTGAAATAGGTATCTTTTGTATGTGATTCTCATATAAAAGATACCTATTTTCATTTTTATGAAAATCATGAATATCTTCAACAATATAATAGATATGAGTTCTATATTATAATAGAAGTATATGATATATATTTCAAGTATTATTTCGGTTTGCGTCGACCCGGCCGCTTCGCGCCCGCCGCCGCCCGCCGCGCCGCGCCTGCCCCGTTGCGGCCTGGCGCTTCCCCCCATCCGGCATGGCCTCACCCGTTCGGGCTTGGCCTCGTCCGTTCCGGGTTTAGCCTCCCTGTCGTCGCGTCGGTGGGCCGTGACGTCGCGGTCGTCGGGCCTGGCTGACGCCTATATAAACCTCCTCCGACTCCCTCTTTCTTCCACGCCCTCTCTCTTCCTTTTCACTTCTCATGTCCTCTGCGCCCACCGGCCTAGCCCCTTCCTATCCCTCCCCCATACTTTAAAGACTGAAAAGGAATATCCTTTCCTTGCGGTGGGTCTAAGAATTTTTTTAGTGTGGGGGAAGATTCTCTTGTACACTATTGCCCCTTAAAGGAAGTGCCATAAAACTGCTTTTTTTGCTTTTTATATATGTTATAATGATAAAAAAAAAAAAAAAATAGTTAAGGGGGTGGTTGTTGTATATCATATATTATTACTTATTTTTCCTTTATTTTGGAGGGTCGTTTCGGGTGGGGGGAGGGGTGGTGGTGCGTATAAATCCACTCCTACCCCCTCATATCACCTCATGAAAAAAGATGAAAATAAGGAGGGGAGAAGGGGGGTAGTGTGGGGGGTGGGGTGTAGAGCAAATTGGTTGTTGTGTGGGCGGGTGATGGGGGGGTGTTTTAGATTTTAA